CCAAAGACCAAGAAATATTAGATGGAAAAGGCGGGTTTGTTGTATTGTAAATGTCAGCTTAGTATAGGGTCATCTACCCACATCTAATAAACAATAGTTTCCACGCTTAGCTTTTCTTTTCTTTATTTTTCAAGCGAAGACTAGATTAGATTTTGGCGCGCACAGAAAGCTGCGTAAGCGCCAGTTGTTCGACAAAGGCGCGTGGCCCGTGCGACGAGATAACTTCACATGGTTGACAAAGTCTCAGTTGCATCAAATTACACAAAAAATTTAGAAAGATTTAAGCTTACATATCGTTTAACGTTTAAAGCGACCTGTTAACGCCAGCAACCATTATGTTTTATACGAACCTCGTAAACTTTTAAACACGTTCTCTTGTGATACCTGCGAAAGTGTTCAGCATAATTTCCGGTAAGATTTTCGTGGACAATCTGATCGATTTCTCTTACTTTGTGAGGTAAGACAAACTTTTCACCTCGAGCAAAGCCTCATCGCACAGCCCAAACATGGCGAGCAACTGAGCTTCTTGTATATGTCCGTATTAAAACACACGAAATGACTCTAAAGCACACTTCACTCTGATTGGGCAGGAAAACAGAAAGATTTTATGGCATCAATCAGATGCCAGAACGACTGCGACCGTTTGGAGCTAGTCTTGTAAGACAATGTCCCCAGGGGCCCTTCCGCCCTAACTTGAAAACGACTCACAGCCCCTGGGTCTCCGAGGATGAACATTTACCAGGACTCCATTTACGAGCGATGACATATTGATCTCTATAATTTGAAAATTTATGGAGTCGCATTATAACACTTACCAGGACCCCAATAACTGGCGATGATAAGTTGACCTCCCACAGTTTGACAACTTTTCACACAGTCTTTACAGACCCGGGGAAATTACGCAGCGGGATATGATACTTGCAGTAAAAGCCATATCCGTTCTCTCACGGCTGTGAAGAGTAATACGCCTATTTTGAGAAAACAGAACAAACTATAAAAATAAAAACGGCAAAATATCATTTAGACTTCTAAATTCATCGTCCCCCCGAGCATTCCGTCTTTTTCTAAATCCGGATTGCAAACAAATTTTCTCATCGCATAAAAAAAGTTACTGAAGAGAAGAGCTCAGATCGGTGGAAGTGAGTAATTTTCCCCCCTTTGAAATTTTCACAACTGTGTTTTTCGGCTGGATCTTGCATTAGCTACTCGAATAATTGGTATCTTCAAAACGGTTGAGAGTAAGCTTTTAAACAGAACAAAAACACGACGAAATATATTTTAGACTTTTTTAATTATCGTCTCGCTCAGCCTTTCATATTAAGTGTTGCCTTTTAGGTAAATCCGGATTTTCAAACACATTTTCAGCTGAAAATTTTATTTTTTTAGTTAAAGCCTCTACATTAACAAACAGAGAAGCAAAACACTCGAAGCAAACTTTACCCAGGCGGGTTTCATGTTTCAAGATCTTGCGCGCGTGATCTGTTTGATCGAAGTGCGGTTCGAAAAGGCTGCTGCTGATTGGACAAAATTACAGGAGGAAAATTCCTCCTGTAAATTTTGCGCGCTGCAAGGGATGAAAGTCGTTCGTGCGGATCCTACCACACCAGAACAGAAAACCAAGCGAACGACTTTGAGAAAGTCTATCTTCCTTCCAGACAACAAAATTACAAATTCCATTTCTACCTGGTAACCGTGACAAGGGAAATACCTCTTAAATGTTCATTTCCAAATTTCCATTATTACTATTATTATTATTATTATTATCATCATCATTATTATTATTATTATTATTATTATTATTATTATTATCATTATTATTATTACTATTATCATTATTATTATCGGCAGTAAAAATGTCTGGATGCCCAGATATCCAATACAATGATTGGGCGGCAAGCCGTGGCCAATCAATGCAACGACTAAAGTCCTTACAATTAAAATTCCCGTAGCATTTCCTTATTATTATTATTATTATTATATTCATTATTCATCTAATTATCATTATTATTATTATTATTTTATAACACTTATAAACACATCACATTTAGCAACACTGAGCATCGTGTTGGATTGTTTTCTCCCTATATACTTTTTGTGGGCAATACAGATAAACACTTTTCTATCATCCACTGTTACAACCTTCTTAATAACTAACGCCCCGTTGGTGTATACCTCAAAGTTTGGGTTATATGCAATTGTCTCTCTCATATTTTGAACATGCGCTATCCGATATTTGTCCCATTCATCTTCACAGTCGTCGGTACAGCAACGATACCAAAAGACATCCTTAGTCGCACTTTCTTGATCGCTGAATGCAGAGCACGCTGGTAAGTAACTGGTGGATTCTTGCCGTGACCTTCATGGTAGCACTCGTGCACGTGGGTACCTTAATCATAGCACCTGTCAAAGAGAAAGTAAGATAATTTTAGTATTTTTATCTTACCGTCAAAACTTTTATTATCATTAAAAGTATCGTTTATGTCAATTTTTATTTGATGTTATGAGTGTGGGGAAATCTTGGTCTTAAAAACTTGCCATGAACATAGCTTCATGTTATAATAGGTGTTATTAATAAGTGTTATTAATAGCTGTCGGTACGTATAGCCGTATATATATTCGTGCCGACACCTACTTCAGCGCATTAATGAGCACAAGCATTTTGTCATTGGTAAACACCTACGGGACGTACATTATCTAAGGAACAAAGATCTTCGTGACCAATTTACAATCCTCAAGAGATGCCGTCGGAAGCTGGATCGTTTAATTTATTAGATGCTCTTCATCAAAGACAGAAAATCAACACTTAACTCTCAATCTGACTCCATCAGAGCAAAACTTTATCTGACAGTTCAAGCGCACCACACTTGTATTTAATTCACCTATTTTTATCTTTTATCCATCGTTTTCATTTCTTAATCATATGAATTGAGACCTTCACACGTACGTTTTCTTTATAATGAACTCTCAAAATGTGTTTATTTGAATTTTAGAATGATGGCAAGGAGCCGTCGAAACGTCATTCTTTAATATCGCTGGCTTTTATCCTTAACTGCTTATCGAAAACTTTAGTTATTAGAATCATGGAATGTCCTTAAAGAAATCAAAGGAATCAAAACACGACTTTAGCTGTTGATTTAAACTGGCGAGAGCAATGTTAATCCAGGCTTGGCTGGGATTAGCGATGAATGCATGTCCGAAAATTATCTCTGCACTGATTAAAGCATTGAAAAGGTCGCCGAGTTGTTCGCAACCAAGTCTTAAATAACATTGAAGGGACCTTCGATAATCAAATCGGATCGCCAGCTCAAATATTTTTGTATACCAATAGCATTTATTAATAAAGCCAACAAAATGTCGCATATTTTAAGGAAAGATGGAGTCATTCTACAGCTGATCATGACAAAATGTAAATTTTGAAATTGAGTTCTTATTGGCGGGTATCGCAGTCACTACCACTGGGGTTAGGACTTTGGAAATAACATTCAAGCATTGATGAATGATTCAAAATCACCTTCTGACTCAAAACGAACTAGTTTTACATTACATTTAGATTCTCCAAGGAGACGTGAAAAATCTGCTCTAGCAGACGACCCACGTTCTTGCTTTGTACTGTAGCCATAACTTAACCGGCTACGAAGAAATACTTATTCCGCTATGGTTGGGATTGAAAGTGAATTAAACATCTGCCAAGCAGCGTGTAAATTCTTGGGTTTCACATAACAAACTAAGTGCTCTAAAAACATACCTTTGGATCTCCGTATAAAGCTCGATAAAAAGAAGAAACATATAAGAATTATTCTCAAAGAAGTGGACATATCTCGTTAACGCTCCGTTACAAACTGAATCAATTTCGATTTGGCAGACAGTTCAATTGACAGTCGACCACGAGTTGACAAAATGAATTTAATTACTTGGTCAGGTCCAACGGTAAACTAAGTTAGCTTTGACGTCATCAAAACAATCACAAAGTTTACTCTATTATTTTACGTTAATTGACTTTCCCATTTTACGTGAAAAGAGATTGGAAATGTTTTTCTCGGAAACACCTCACCGCGAACGACACTCGTATCTTTCATCTGTCTCCTTATCTATATTTTCATTCAATTATTCATTCAATTTTAAGAGATGATAAAGACACGTGTGTGTCACGGTTGTGGTTCTATTGATCCATTCATATCATAATTATCTTCAAACAAAAAGCTGACAAGTTCTTAGTGTATTTCCCATTGAAGCATAGATTATTCAACTGGAAATCATCACGCACAGTGAGTTTTATTTATTCGCTTAAGTGATTAAAAGGGTTAATGTTTGGCACGAGACCTTGATCCAATCACGTCAGGCTGGCGAGATGTTTGAAACGATGTTTTCATACGGAAACGCAGCAGTCCTTTAATTTTCATTAGGAATCGCACAGTAGAAGCGCATCCGAACAATAAAGGTCTAACCATACCGCCAAGAAGTGAGATAGAAGATTTCAAACTGCATATGGAACACTTGTTCAGTTCGGGTGCATTTTAGTGCGTCTTCAAGTCTCAGGAATAGACAAAATTAATAATGAATAAATAAAATATAACGATGAGGTCACTTAATTGGGATCTTCTTCTCGACCACCAGCCTATTTAGCATTTCACAAAATTTCTTTCAAAATTTTCAGGATTTTTTTGCACTTATTTTGTTGATATAAATTTCACTTATTTGACAAAAGGAAATAAAGAGAAACAAATTGAGGAAAAGCAAATTTAATTTAATAGGACAACTGTGTAGTTAGGAGGGGGATCCCCGGGAGTCCATGACCCCCTCTATATTCCTTTTTCAAAGCAAACCTCTCAGGTTCAGATGGCGAAAACTGGTGAGAACTCTCTGTTTGACACAGTGTGCCACCCCCCTCCCCTTTTCAAAAATCCTGGCTACGCCCCTGTAACAGGAAAATGTGTCGTGGCTGAAGAAGCTAAAACTTTCGAGTATGCCAATATCATAGTAAAGTTAATGACTACAAAGCAGTATTTTAAAGCTTAATTTAATCTTCGAAATTTAATTGAAGAGCAGTGAAAATCACACCTTCGTATAACCGTAACATTTTACAAAGTTTGCATCGAATGCAAAGTGGACTCTTCCGTCCAAATACATGGCATGAACATCTTCGTGATACCGTGCGCAATAAAGATACATACACCTTGTTGGCTGGTTTTATATATAATACGCGCAGATATTTTGCGAGTTGTACGCGTTACGTATTACTTTTTGCTCGTGTTCTATGTCAAACCATCAAATAAGAGATTTATCATTCAACTATTATTTTATTCTCTACTAGCCTCTTGGCTTCTAGTTTTAAAAAATTAGCAAAGCTTGCCTAAGCGTCGTACCGATCGTACAAAAAGAAAGAAGAAAACATTAGAAAATAAAACATTTAAGTGTTCTTCATGACCAAAAACAAATCCCCAATCGAAGCTTTTTGCTAAAAGAATAATTTCTATAAAACTCAAGAGCTAATTAAAAATCACGCAGACCGTCTCTGTCCATATTGTTGCCCTGTTCTACAGAGTAATACTGTGGCATGTTTCGCGCGTTCCATCACCCTAATATGGTGAAATGACATAACAGAGGAAAAATAGAACGTTGAGATATTTAGTATATTATAGTTCCTCTGCTCCGTCCTCTTTTTTCGGAATATCTTCTAGGTTGAAGGCGTGGTTGGCTATATGTTGTCCTGGGACATTTTGATTGTCATCGCCACTTTCAACTCTACAATTATTGGGATGATTCTGGCCGATCACACCAGACTTCTTGATCCTCCAAACCAGATAAATAATGATTGCAACAGCGATTAAGAGTAACAAAAACAAAGACAATAATAACGGGTAAAAAAGTTTACTAATTGCTGTCGCAGAATCCAGGTCTTCCTTTCCTAAGAATGAACAAATAGTTTTCTTTACTTTTATTTTCAGTCGTGAATTATGACATAAAGTATACATGGACTCTATGACACTGTGGATCACAGAGAACGCCAAACACAGAGTATGTGTTTTCAGTGTTAATAGGGAGTGAACGTATGCGTTATACTCGTGCGAGGTTGTGTCAGTAAAAATGTTTCTCCTCCCGATGATCCTAAAGGCTGTTATTGATTCAAACATTTTTTTGCATAAATCGCTATGGCCCTAATTTCCTTTTTGAAAAAATGAGTCAACTTCAATCTCACGCAATAGAGTATCATGGAGAAGAAAAAGTTATTTTGGTGAAAAGTGAACTGTTGGATAGCGGTTGACACATCTAAACATAGTTGTACCGGTTAAAGTCGCTAAAATACCAATCGAGTGTTCGCCTTTGTTTGTTTTGTTTTCCTCAAGATACATAAACAAACATATAAACAAACGATTGTACCAACAATTAACTTTTCGAATGCCTTTTTTCCTACTATGTAGCTTTCCTAAGCCTTTTGAAGAAAATGTCCTGGCACACCTTAGCTCATTAAAACCCAAGATCACAAACCAAAACAAAAAATTGAAAGCCGTAACAGTTGTCCTCACCAACCGATCAGTGTTAAAGCTCAGGGGGAAGTGATCGCGAGCTCGAGGGGCCCTTGACGTCCAGGTTGTTGGAGAAAAATGCTAGAGTATCTTTAACAACTTAAAAAATTATTCAAAAAAGATCGGAAAAATAATTAATGAGAGAAGAATCAGTCATCGTAAAATAACAGAAGTATCCATACCTGGTGGAGGTGAAGTTGAGCAACTTTTGATATCTAAAGAAAGGTAAAAAAGGTAAAAAATAAAATTTGTTCATCTACGTCTACCATTCTCTCACTGAGTAACTGTTAAAAAAAAAAACTCCTGACAAGGAGCTCAGTGCACGTATCATAAATTGATGTTTCAACATAGAATGTGGAAATACCCATCGTCATTCAGAGCGTCAGCTACATAAGAATGTCGCATTAACAGAGCACTAATTTATAGCTGTCGCAAGATTTGTTAATTCTGCTGTCGATAAGACAAGGAATTAAAGAAATTGACTCTCTGATCGTGAACAGAATCCCATTCACCTTGCCATCGGCGCACAAATGATACAAAATACTCTTTCAAGCTTTATCCATGACTTGGCTTTTCGAGGAACTAGTTAATCATATAGATAGTATTTAACATTGGTAATGAAATTTGAATAATTAGAGCTTCTCATCGCCAGACAATTGTTTGATGGTTCAAGCCGGGTTTTCTGATTCTTCCTTGATAGAACTAACATCGAGTTTGTCTTTCAGGCGCATGTATGAACACTTACCAATAGCAGTTACTTGTATGGTATGATTATCAAATCCTAGTGAATTCTGAGCTCGACAGACATATGATCCGCTGTCTTCCATATTAGCGATTTCTCTCACAAAGTTTGCGTCGGTGCCTGTTTCATTCTTCAGGAGTTCATGATCACGCGTCCATGTCACTTGGGGTAAAGGATAACCAACAGCATCACACTCCAATACCAATTTCATACCTTTCACTACGTAGAAAGTTTGTGGACTTCTGCAAACTATTCTTGGGGATTCTAAGATAGCAGATAGCAGAAAGAAAATTCTTAAGGTAGCAAGATACATTATCAATATATCCTTACCACTGTACCATTATTATTGTACCTTCATCATTGTATCATTATCATTGTCATTATATTATTATTACTGTATCATTATCAATTTGTCATTATCAGTGCATCATTACCATAGATCATAAACATTGTGTCATTATCATTATATCATTATTATTGTATCATTATCATTGTATCATAAACATGCATTGTACCATCGTCATTGCTGAATTATCATTGCATCATTCTCTTTGCATTATTATCCTTGTCACGGTCATTGTATAGTTGATATCAAATTATCAACAAATCATTATCATTATAACATTATCATTTTATATTGTATCATTGTATCATGATTATTATATCATTGTCATTATACAATTGTCACTGTATCATTACTATCATATCATTATAAATGTATCATTTTCATTGTATAATTATTATATCATTATCAATGTACCATTATCGTAATACCATTATCATTGTATCATTATCGATGTAATATTTACATTGCATCATTATCAGTATAGCATTATCATTACATTAATATTACTATGTAATTATCATTGCATCATTATCATTATACCATTATCATTTTAGCATTATCCTCGTATCATAATCATTGTAGCATTGCCCTTGCATCATAACTATTCTATCACTGATATTGTATTATTGTCATTTTGTTATTATCACTACTCATGATCAGTGCATCATTATTATTATATCATTATCATTGTATCATTGTATCATTGCATCATCATCATTAAATCATTACTGCTATATTATCATCATTATATAATAATAACAATAATAATAATAATAATAATAGTAATAATGGTCTTTATCAAAAGCAATAATGCATCAACCGTGTCATCATTTACAAAGATTGAAATATAAAACAGATTAAGATAGAAAATACAGCTAACTATTAAAGGCAGACAATGCTAAAAAGACCTCTATTTACAAAGGTGGATTTAAAACGTGAAGTACGAACTCTAGGTAATATATCATCATGGCCCCTGCTGCGTAATTGCCTAGTACGTCTCGGCGGTAAAAGATCATCAAGTGCCGTGATATTTGAAGGGATCTTGGTCCATAGTTTGCTATCTCTGGTGGCTAAAATATCACAAATACTATATTTCTTCAAACAATATCCAGACTTAAAAAGCCCTAGCAAGCAGTTTGTCTATTCTCTTAAGATATTTATCATAATAACAGCAGCCCACACCTCGATAGCATATGTGAAGACTGAAATAATTAAGCTTTGGAAGAGCAGATCTAATTGCTCCTTAGGGTAGCCATAAAATCTACAAACTCTTAAAATATACATACGACTGCTGGCCTTACCAAGCACGTGATCAATATGTGAGCCCCAGTTCACAGGGTCATCCTGAAATGTAACACCAAGCGAGAGGAGCTGGTGGAACTTTCAGGCTACCACTTTCTAGTAACATTTCCCATGTTTTATTCAAATTGAGCGTCATTTGATTCTTTTCAGCCCACTCCATTATAGAACTAACTTCAGACTCGGCTATGTTGCCATCCTTAGCGCGAACAGGGATGCTGACTGTGATATCATACGCAGATTTAACCAATAGGCTAGAGGGGCTAAATGGCTCTATATCATTTATCATTAGAGAGAACAATTTTGGAACTAGCACCGTCCCCTGGGGACACCCCTGGTTACATCTATAAATTCAGTAGTGATGTTATCTACCACAACCCGCTGCTTCCTATTACTAATGAAACTGATGAGCCAGTTTAGTATATATGGATTGATATCCACATCCCTAAGCTTACTTCATAAAATTCTGTGAGACACAGAATCGAACGCCTTGCTAAAATCCAATGAGAAGATCCGCACGAAGTCCGCATTTCCATCAAGGCACTTTAGCCAGTTATGCTGGGACTTCAATAGAGCCATGGTAGAGTTATGTTCCTTTCGATAAGCAAACTGGTCTAAATCAATATGGTTAGTGCACACGGTAGATAATTCATTCCTATACACTAGTCTCTCAAACTGACGCATAATTATATTTGTTAAAGAAATAGGCCTTAGCTGGTTACAGGAAGTAAATGGCAGTTCCTTAGGAGCCGGTCTGATATTCGCCTCCTTCCACAACAATGGAACTGTATGTTGCAGAAGGGAGGCATTAAATACATCAGTTATGATTGGAGCCAGGTAGTACCCAAAGTCACGGAAAAGCCAATAGGGGAGATCATCAGGGCCCGAGGTTGTCCTTTTAATGTTAATTGTAGCTTGCCTAACCTCATACACCGTGAAGGAGGATACCCTCGTGCCCTCTGGAATATTAAGCATCTCAGGGAGGGAGTAGTCGGGATCAGTGTTAATCTCGCCAAAGTGTTCATTAATATTAGCAGGATCAATGATAGAACTTATTGACTGACAGATTGACTTCCTCCCAGCGATAGAATCTATGGTAGACCACCATGATCTTGTTCCCTTATCATGCTTCTTCGAGTTGTATTTAACAGCATGAAGTTGGTTTTCTCTGATCAGCTTATCAACTCTCTCCTGGAGTATTGCAACACTTGGGTTTTGTTTTTGTCCACCTTTCGAAGAGGTGCTTGCCTGCGTTTAGGAAGATGTTTTACTAAAGGTGACATGAAAGGCGGATCTCTTGAAGACATTAGCACAGTCTTCACTGGGAAAGAGTCATTGTACATTTGCATTAGTGCAATATATCAATACATCTATATCATAATTGTTTCATTATCATTGCATAAGTATCATTGTAACATTTTTATTATATTGCTATCATGACGATTGTTGTTTATTGTATCATTAATATTGTATTATTATCGTTTCATCACATTCATTGTATCATTATTACTATATCATTATCATTGTATTACCAGCATTCTATCATAATCCTTGCATCATTATCATCATATTTTTATCTTTACATCCTAATCATAATATCGTTACAATTGTATCACTATCAATTTTTATTACACGACTCGGGCAGTCAGAGGGCCAATAACTAAAATCAACCAAAATCAAAATGCTCTATTTCCGGTTAATATTCTCTCAGTATTGGACCGGGCACTGTCCCGAATGGTCCCGAATGATACTGCACTTGTGTCCCTTTGAACTTCAGTCGTATAATAAATCTCTTATTAACCAAGCTTGCTCGGGACCGTACTGGAAGAATATCGGCCCTCGGTCTTTTTGTACGGACCTTGCTGCGCTCGGTCCGTACTAGCTGTCAAGACGTCAGGTCGATATTCTCCCAGTACGGCCCTCGCGCTTGGTTAATAAGATATATAGTATAATCATGGAGTCATCATCATCATTATATCATTTTATATTATTATTACTGTATTGTTATCATTGCATCATTTTCATTGAATCCTTTCAACTGTGTCATATTCGTTGTATCATTATCAATACATCCTGATCATTATTACATCATTCCATCATTGTCATTGTATTATACTCAAGTATCATTTTCATTGAATCATTATCATTGCATCGTAATCATTGTATCATTATGATGGCATCATAATCAATGTATCATAATCTTTGTATCATTATCATCATTTCATTATTACTATACGATTAGTGTAGCAATGTTTCATTATCATTATCAGCAATGTATCAATATCATTATCAGCAATGTATCATTATCATTATCAAAAATGTATCATTATCATTGTAAAATAATCACTGTATTGTTATCATTGTCTTATTATCCTTTTCACTGTAATTGTATTATTATTACATTAGAATCATTCCATTATTATCATTATATCATTATTAACATATCATTATCATTATGTCATTATCATTGCATCATTGAACTTTTAGACTCACATTCTTTTATATGCTCCTTTTATTATGATTATTCTCTTTGCGAATATTTACTTTTAGACTGATTATCCATCACAAATACTTGAGAGATTGAACTCGAGATGGTTGCCTTTTATGTTGATTATTTTTCCAGTGAACTCTTTTTTTCTCTAGCTATGCAAGTTTGAAATAAATGGAATTTTCCATAATTATTATTGGGTGAGATTTTGATTTTAATAAAATGGTGATGCCATAATAATGATATTGAAAACAATAATCATAATGATGATAATAACAATACTGATAATGATGACTAAGATACTAAAAAAGATGATAATGAGAATGATATTATTGAATTATGAGTTGGGCTTATGGAGGGTAAGTTCATACCTTCAGAAATTTCCAAGAGTGTGATGAATTCTCTCGATCCAATTAGAGGAGTTACTACCCTGCATAGAAGAGTTTTGTTATCATATTCAGGTAACACCTTAAGGATAGTCAAAACTCCAGTGGCGTTTAAAGCAAATCTTTCAGGAAAATCTACCAACACAGTACTAATGTTGAAGATGTGAGCAATTCGGTGTTCATCCAAGCTGGACCTGCATTCTTCTATGGTGGAACAACTAAACCACCCCAAGTGTTGGAAAGTCAAATTTGGTTGGATGGTACACGGCACTTCGAGGCCTTTTTGATCCAAATTGGCCACAATACGGTTAGCGGATGATCCTATTAAACAGATGGAAGGTATATTACGTGTAAGCGATGAAAATTAAAAAAAAAAAGAAAAATCGATGAACAGAACTCCACCTATGATGCCAACCGTCAGGAGTTGCTCGGATTTAAGGTCAAGATTTTCTGGTCAGCTCCATTTCAGTGTTATCCATCATGCATTTGGAAGTAATTTGCATCGTGTCTCACAATCGTTACTATGTATAAAAAAAACAACAACTCATTTTGGCATTCCCTTGTAACAGTGGTGGTCTAGTTCTGCTAGCCTTCGAAAATAGGGGGCGAACACATGGAAAAGATTATCTTTACTCAGGATTTTGAGAATAGAGCATCCATACCTAGGTATCAATAGGTATTATACTGGATTCATGGATTTTATTGAGTGAGTACAAAAAAATGACCAAGCAATGGAATTGATATAAGTGAACACACGGTTGGTCACGAAATGCTACATTCTGTTATCTAACTTTAAAGAATCATGTCTTTCTGAGTGACTAGAGGGGAAATTCACGATCGAATGGAGCCCTCACTCTGTCAAATGGCATGGACAAACAAAAGCTCATGTCACACTTCATCCCACAAGTGATGGGATGTCAATTAACAAAGAGTGATTTAAGACAAAAAATACTTGAAAATATGTCACTCTTATTGCCTGTTCCTATGTTGTCAGTGAAGAGAGAGGCTTGACCGTTTTGTACAATACTCTAGTGCAATTACATAAACCGGGGAGTAGAAAAACAAGTTTGCTATAGATTCATGATCGAGGTAGTAACTTTGTAAAAAACTTATCAATTATTTCTTAACTTATGAATTATCTGCAACTAAAAGCCTATAACCCTTTACAGACATGAAGAGCGATTGATTAGACACTTACAAAAGAGGTGTAGATCTCAGGGGGGCTGACAAAATCAATACAATTGTTCTTGAATACCGAAAATGTATCAAGTGAAGAGAATTCTGGGCTCAAGTGTCTTTTTGATGAATATTCGGCAAACAGTCCCGCAAAGATTCAGGTTTTTGAGATGTTCGTTTGGTGACTTTCAAGGAAATGTTTGTGTCCCTCCGAGGGACATTAATACGGCGGTCGGAAGCCAACAAAAACACATGTCATCGAGTTTAGTTATACAGAGCCTTAGTTGTCTTCTGAGAGCTCATTAATATCTATATGAGTACCTATTCTCAGACAAGGACCGTTCAGATTGCGAGATCTGAGCGAAAAAATCATCAAGAACGCCAGGAGGAGTCGGAAAAGGAACTACGAAAGAATTAAAAGAACCTATCTTGGATTGGTGTCTATCGCGTGCGCGTGTATCAACACGGTAATTGAGATTCAATTCTAGCTTGAAAGAAACTTTTACACTGTTATCTATGAACATACCTTCGGATCTGTGCACTTGGAACGATAAAAAGATGGACTGACACAGTATAATAACTCTCAAAGAAGTGTTCATATCGTATAAATTCCGTTACAAACTAACGCTGGGAAGAAATGCCAGTGAACCGCGAAAGGAAGAAATTGTGAATCTAGTTACCTAGTCAGGTCCAATCATAAACTGAGGTTAACATTGACGTCAAGAGATCTCGAAAAAGTCACACAACAAGGTTCAGCCGATTGTGTCACTAGTGCGGTTCTGACCGCCTTTTGACGTCATCTTTGATATTTTGTTGAACAGGCGCACAGCAACATAGATTGTATTTTTTAATCAAACATACAGCTGACAATACATTTTTTCATTGAGGCAAGTTTATTTAACGACAAATCGTCATGCTAATTAAATTTCATGTATTCGTTCAATAGCTTCAGAACCTGAAGATGTCATGAAATGATCAACGGGGATTACAAATGCAGGAGACTTTGACCCCATCGCGTTAGGCTAGCGACATTTTAAACGCTGTTACCATTTAGAAGCGCAACAATCACTTTCAAAAATTATTCAATGCTGGCGCAAAGCGTTTTATAGGTCTAATTACAACATGGGGGACAAAAGCGTTCATAAAAACACAAACCATGCGGAAATTTCTAACAAGGAATTTTCAAGGACTGGGGACATACATGTACTAGCAGCTGTGATTGTTCTACATTTATCACATTAGCATATCTACAAGGCTTGAGAACCTGAGAATGTCATGAGTGATCAACGGGGATTATAATTGCAGGAGATCTTTTCCCGAACACGTTAGGCTAGCGACATTTTAAACGCTGTTACCATTTAGAAACGCAACAATCACTTTAAAAAAATATTCAATGCTGGTGCAAAGCGTTTTGTACTTCTAGCTACAACAGGGCGGACAAAAGCATCAATAAAAGCACAAACCATGCGGAGATTTTGAACTTTAAAGGGCTGCCGATATGCATGCAATAGCAGCAACTGTAATTGCTCTACATTTATCATATTGCTATATCTACGAAACTCACCAGAGTGCCAGGTTATCCAACTTATGGTTCAAATAGGACTTCGATACGTCTCCTGCCCATATCGCTCATATGCATCCGAGGTAACTTGCCTTGCTTGAGTAAGGATTATGAATCATTCTTTCCTGCCTGATTTCTCGTTGCAGTAAGAGAATATGTGGTATATGTATCTCCATATTGCCAAATTCCTCTTTAATTTGTCAGAACATTTTTATGATGAAAAGTACCCTGATTACCCTAGAAGTCGCTGAATCACTGTACATATCTGTTATGAGAGTTTACACGACACATATGGAGAGGATAAACGAAACATCAATTCTTTCAAGCCTTATACTCACTGCTCCTTAACTTCGCGTTAGGGTAGAATTTACCGATACAGGATATGACATTTGATTCCCCATATCAGTTTCGAGTTCCTGTCTTTCCAGTGAAAACGTTCAACAAAAAAACAAAAAAAAAACAAAAAAAAAAACAAAAAAAAAACAAAACGAAACAAGACATAGATAATTACCTACAGAGCATACCCCGTCTCGTTCTCAGAATCTTTGCTTGATTGACCATCGAAAAGCGAAAGTTCGATTATAGGAAAATTTACGCAAATTACCCAGAAGTAAATCTGTACCCGGAAAATGTGACACAAAATGTTTACATGTATACTCTTACTACAAGCCGGATAACATTCGCCGGTGGATTGTTGACCATATTTGTCGCCTTTGACATAACACTAAAACAGACATAAGAACTCAATTGGAATGCCGATTTAAAGCTCATATTGTTAACTTTAGCTTTACCATTAACTTATATTGCGCTAATATCAATATACATTTTCATTGTTAAATTATTCTGCGAAGAGGGAAATAAATTGAAAACAGGGCATATTTAATCCAGGATTCCAATAAACCCCGTTTTTAATTAGCATTTTAAAACAAGCATCTTGTATTGTCTTACTTATCTAGTATCAGACTTCTTGCAGGCGGTAGTTTGAGTAGTTTATGTTTCAAGCACGGGATTTAGAACGGCGAATATTCGGTGACCATAATGGAAATGAGGGGGTGGGAGGGAAAAGAATCACCCGTTTTTCTCCCCTTCCCCCCTCTCCCACACTGTCAGTTTATTAGTTTAGTTTAGTTTATTAGCTTCGCCGACCAGCAGGGACACCCGAAACAGCTTGCAGCAGTTACTGCGGGCCCAGTAAACCCGCCCATCTCACCCCAGGGGAGGACATCCATCACACAGTAATCTCGTGCGTGGGAAATTAACGTCTCCTACCCCTAACCCTGGAGGAGACGGGACCTCCGTTCATCCGTCCCTATCCGAGAAGACTAGAATATCTAACCATTTCTTGATGTTATCCTTGGGTTTCACCCACGTGACCAATACCTTAGCAACGGTTACTATCCGCCATCTTGGTGTCCCTCGAGCGTAAACAAACCGTATCTAACGAAGAGTTCATGTGAGAAAGAAGGGATGGTTTTATGCATTATTGTTGGCTGTTCGAGCAAAAGTGGAAAGCATAAAGACTAAGGATTTTTTCGTATAATAATTTAATAATTTTATTATTTCTATAGCGCAAAATTCATTATATATATGATCTAATGCGCTATACCTAAGATCATCACAAATCAAGGGGAAGAACAGGAGGAACTAGAAGTTGTTGTATTGTTCGAGGCTTGCGGCTGTTGTAGATCCTCGATTTTTTGGTCGAGCTTTTCTTTGAGCTTCTTAGCCGATGAGAAATCGATGTCTTTAGCCCTCGCATACGGCACTTCATTGACCTATGTCGGCAAAATCCATGAGCATTTTACCTGAGTGCAAGTAAGCTTGGGGTGTCACGAAAACTCACACCCCGAAAACTCAGAC